TTGATATCTCCTGTCCTCGTTTTAAAGCGTTGATCAACACTAGAACTTTGATATCTCCTGTCCTCGTTTTAAAGCGTTGATCAACACAGAATTTTTATATATCCTGTCCTTGTTTTAGAGCGTTGATCAACACAGAATTTGATATACCCTGTCCACGTTTAAAGCGTTGATCAACACAGAATTCTGATATATATCCTGTCCTCGTTTTAAAGCGTTGATCAAACAGAATTTTGATATATCCTGTCCTTGTTTTAGAGCGTTGATCAACACAGAATTTTGATATATCCTGTCCTCGTTTTAAAGCGTTGATCAACACAGAATTTTGATATATCCTGTCCTCGTTTTAGAGCGTTGATCAACACATAATTATGATATATCCTGTCCTCGTTTTAGAGCGTTGATCAACACATAATTATGACATTTCGTGCGACAAACCGTCAACATAAATAATTCTCTTTAAGAAAGAAGTAGCCAGAATCAAGTTTAAAAACCGTGGTTACTATTAATACAGTGCCTTTCTATATGAAACGAGGTCATTAGTTGGAATAATATAGTTTTTTCCCGATTATTAAGCAACAACAAGTTAATTCCGAATTTAGAAATATACTTGTATAACGTATTAAGATGTCAAAAATTCCAAATGATTCATTAAACAGCAAAAACAGCTTTCTTTCCAAACTTTCAAATCGCCAAACGGGTTTCAATTTTCTGACACGGAATCTAACTTCGCAATAATAAGTAATGGATGGATTTCTCTGATTTTAGTAATTTCGAATTGAAAGGTGCCTTATGCGATATTTGGGCTACACAGATACATTAGAGACTCGTATAGAATTCAGGAATGGTCACCCTTAGTTTAGAACTCCTCATCACAGAGAGAAGGCAACAGTTAGCAGTACTCGCGTTCATGGGGGTATCGTGGTTCAAACCTTTGACTTTCCGATCCGCTAACCACTAAGCGTTCCAAACTCAGATTTGTTAAAATAAAAAAAATAATATCTACGGCTCTAAAATTAAAATGTTAGATATTTCAGAGTGTGCATACAATTAGTTATTTCGCGTTTCGCATCGAGCACGTGGATATATGCGTTGCTTAGCAGTTAAAATAAAGTAGAAGGGAGTACAGCAGAATTATGTCTACAACCATTATTGTCAAGTGGTGGGAAATTTCGATAGGCGTATATGATAGGCGAATCAAATAATTTTAAGCATTGAGCCAAGAATAAAGTATTGTGGGAAATTTGCGTCAAACTGTAATTAATCAAATCGCAGATTTCCAATGATAATTAATCAACTTTAGATGTAAAGAAAAGTAAACCTGAATAAAACGTTCTAACATGATTTAGGAGTTTAAAACATCATCTAATCTATTAACTCGCTCTCTTGAATTAACGATCATTAAATGACCAATGACAATACACCAACAGACGCAAGAAATTAGAACAAAATACCTGCTAGTTCAGCACGTATGTTCAAAGAATTTGGGAGAACATTTAATAAAACAAAAACACATCAAAAACGAAGAAACAAAATTCAAAATATAAACAAAAAAAAAGGAAATAATTTTAAAGCCTCAAATCATTCTATTATTACTTGTAAGATTGCACACATTGGCGCTTTATTTACTTTTTGGCGATTAAGTAAACTGCCCCTCAGTGGCACAGCGGTATGTCTGCGGACTTACAACGCTAGAATCCGGGTTTCGATACCCGTGGTGAGCAGAGCACAGATAGCTCATTGTGTAGCTTGGTGCTTAACTTGAAGCAAACAAACAAACAATATACTGTTCCACCTTTTAAGAGACAAAAAAAAAAGAAACTCCTCCCTAACCTAACAACGTGATGCAGCGCTTAACAGAGCTTTTGAAATTCAAAGTGACCCCCACAGTTCCATTATCTTTATTAAAAGATGTGGAAATTTGTAAAAGGAAAAATTTAAATTACTAATGTTTCCGTGTTTGATAAGAGGCCATATATATATATATATCCTGGAAATAAATCTCTGAGCGTCCAGATCGTCAAATTTTCCTGGAAGAGGGCGATCCTGCAAAATTCATTTTCATAAAAAAAGAAAAAACGGCTCCATAACCTATCAACGCAATGCAGTAGGTAAAAGGCCTACGTTGGCACAAATCTTGAAAGCCAAAATTACGCTCCTGATATACTGATATACATCTGTTTTCAATTTGTGGTACACACAGCTCTCTCAAGTAAAACCCTGATTTTATCTAGTAAACACCTGTCCATGTAAAAACTTGTTTTAATCTGGTACTTAACAGTAGTGTAACAATGGGTCTAAAAGGCAAGGCTTTTTTTTTTATGGGCCTCTCCTCAACACACTCACCCTTCTCTCACAATCGCATACGCAGAGTAAAATATTTTTCTTTCTTTTTTATTCCCAAGCTATTCCTCCGTCACCTAATCACCCAACAAAATAAGACGAAAATCCGAAAGCTGTTACAAGTTACCGTTACTTGAAATTCATCTTGCGTGGCCTCTCAAAAAAGTAGGCGGTTAGCTGATTGGTGGTGTTTTTTTTCTTTTCCTTTTTCTTTTCTTCCACAAATCGTAGCACAGCGCTGTTAACCCTTTTGTTTTAAATTCATAACTTGGCTAGTTTAATGTTAGAAGGAAATTATAACTCGATCATTTGTTTTGAATTTCCCGCAAAGCTACACGAGGGCTATCTGCGCTAGCCGTCCCTAATTTACCAGTGTAAGACTAGAGGGGAGGCAGCTAGTCATCACCACCCACCGCCAACTCTTGGGCTACTATTTTTACCAACGAATAGTGGGATTGGTCGTCACATTATAACGCCCCCACGGGTGAAAGGGCGAGCATGTTTGGTGTGACGGGAATTCGAACCCGCGACCCTCAGATTGCGAGTCGAGCGCCCTAACCACCTGGCCAACTCGATCACTCACGATGAATATTTATTGAGCAATCTTTCAACTCCATTCTTCTGGCCCTCGAGTAGCTTGGCGCGAAATTCAAGAAACAAACGAACAAGAGGTATGGAATGAATCTGACCCTCCAAGGTCGCGAAATAACACGACCAAAACCCGCTCAAGTTACTCGCTTCAATATTCAGAGGTATGGAATGAATCTGACCCTCCAAGGTCGCGAAATAACACGACCAAAACCCGCTCAAGTTACTCGCTTCAATATTCAGAGGTATGGAATGAATCTGACCCTCCAAGGTCGCGAAATAACACGACCAAAACCCGCTCAAGTTACTCGCTTCAATATTCACCTTGTCTATAAAGTCGAAAAAAGTTTTATAAATGTGCTAATTACAATTTATTTCACCATTATTTTAGCGACAAGTGAAGTATTATTGTAAATACA